AAAAAACAGGGGGGGTGTATACAACCCCAACCCCCCCCCCCCCCCCCCCCCGGAAACCCTGACTGCTACAGTTGCGGATAATAATGCAGAGGCAAGGTCGTCCAAGAGACACAATGCCTGTAACTACCTGACCGCTGAATAATACACATGCAACCGTTGATAGACAGATCAACAGTTCAAATCCTATCCCAAGACAGAACACAGCAAGAAAAAGAAGAAGAGGGGACTATGACGACCTGCTCCAGCCACCTCGTCATCAGACAGCTGAACACTTGGCAGTCTACAGAAGACGCCCATGTGACGCTCGGCTTCACAGGATGTGCTATCGTCTGTACCCCTTGTATTTTGCAACTACGCAGGGTTTGTACACTGATTCTTTTGAAGTTTTCAGCATGACCGTTCTATTTCCTTCTTCTTGTGTGGGGGAGTTAGGAAAATTGCTCAACTCTTTCTCCATTGCCTCTTTGTGAGCGTGGGAAATTTTTAATTTCCTTAGGTAATTTTCTTAGGGCCAAACACACACATTTTAAGTAGCAGAATTGAGGAACAGCTCATCTTCTTCCTCGCGGGTTCGCCTGACAAACTTCCCTCGCCTTCTCATTTTGCAGCTTCTTGAATCCTCATTCCTGTGTGCACACAGTTTCTCATTGTTTTCCTTTGCTTGTAAAAGCCTTCATGTCTTCGTCCTTTTTGCTTTTGGCCTTCTCCTTCTGTGCGAACTCTCAACTGTCATTCCCTTGCTTCCTTTCTTTCTTCTCTCTTTCGCATGCCATCCTTCCCATGCAAGGAAGATGAGCATTAGTGAACTTCAGCAATCAAACAGCATCATACATATGAGCCCAGATAGTCTTGACCTCGAACCACAGCAGACTTGCATCACGAGATACACCAAATAAGAACACACCAAGAGTTCAAAATTGACAATGCTGAAGTAGTCCCATCATCACCAACTACGAACCAGAGTTGATATCCTATTGGCGCTCGGCGCCCAGACTAGATGTGGCAGATCCTATCTAGCCTATACTACGAAGCAGGATGATGACATCAACAGCGTTCCCGAAGTACGAGCATATGGCGACCAATGTCGCACGCTTCAGCACCAGGTATGTCTCTAGTAACACTCGCAACCCCGATCCACACCGCACAGATGCCACTAGCACCCCAAGGACCACCCTGCGCTTCACCTAGCATACAGCAGCGCAGCTTGGCTATGGCTACGTGCTCCCTCCTACTCGCCCGTGAGAGTGTGAGTGCCAGCCAGCCAGCGGATTGCGCAGCAGCGCTCACACAGCATGCAGCCAGCACCCGAATGCCGAATGAGGAGGCAGGCCCTTCCCTATATCGAAGTGGCCTCCCTGCGTCCAGTCCAGGAAGCTTCCGGTAGGCCCCGGTAGGCACAGGCCCAGTCACGAAGAGAGCAGGCCTTGGGCCTGAAGTGGTTGCATGCGCCCAACTGCTTTCGGCCTGTGTTTGGCCCGGTACCCGTATCCAGCCCAGGGCCTGCTTCACATTCATTTACACAGGCGGCCCAGGGCCTGGATTCATTCAACCAACTGGCGCAACGCAACTGTCTGAATTTCCCCGWTGCGGGGTACCCTGAAGAATGAGGCCCGAAGGGCCTGTCGTGCCTGCCTTCCCTTAGGGCGGCCGACCTTGTTGCAGATAGGGCCCCGTAGGGGCTAAGCGGGCGTAGTCTCGCATTCCCTCCTCCATACCTTCGTTAGTCCTCTGCGAAGATCAATCTTGAGCCATCTGGCGCTTCCCTTTCAATACATCCTTCTCATAGCGGGCAATGATTTGAGGAGCGGTCTGCATCAATTCCTCCCGAGTAAACCAGCGGTCCTCTTTCGAATCCGTGTGATGTCTGAAGTGAACACAGAACTGCAGTTTTGGCTTTGGAGGACATCCCCTTCCTGGAGGCTTCTGAACAGGCATCTCCCTGTGATCGACGATATCATCGATGTCGACTTCTCCGTCCATGGTTGGGGGCAGCATTGACCGACGAGAGGGAAACTGATTAGTTTCCTCGAACGCAGCGAGCTTAGAGGCGTGAAAGACAGGGTGAGTTCTGAGATGACCAGGGATGCGGATGACATATGATGGACCATCAGGATCTGTCCCTACTACGTCTAGAAATTGAGGCATGAGTTTGTGGGATATTCCGAACTCCTGTCCCAATTCTGAAGACTTGACCCAGACTCTGTCCCCAACCTGGAATGTAGAAGGGCGGCGGTGTCTATTCTCAGACTCTATCATTGCTGCCTGCGCCTTCTGCATGTGTTCTACAGCCTCCTACATCTTCTGTTCATATCTATAGGCGAACTTCAAAGTGCCCGGTGTAGGAGTTGACTGGTTGTCTGGAAGTAGGAAGTCTAAGGGAAGTCTAGGCTTGAATGTCAGTTGTAGACTATTAGGACTTGTCCCGGTAGCACTGTGTACAGCGTTGTTATATAGACTGGCGACTAGAGCAAGCTTTTCGTCCCAGTCTACCTGATTGGGCTTGATGTAGTGCCTCAACAGGTGTTGCACAGCGCGGTTCATTTGTTCAGCCTGGCCATTAGCTTCTGGATGATTTCCAGAAGTCATTTGCAGTTGAGTTCCTTGTTCAGCTGCAGCGGCCTTCCACAATTCACTCGTAAACCTGATGTCCCTGTCACTGACAATTGACTTTGACAGTCCAAAGTCTCTGACCCAGTTCTCTTTAAATAACCTGATCCCGTACTCGGTCTTTGCTATTTCTGGCATAGCTATTAATCTAGCAAACCACTCTTGCTGGTGACCAGCGTATCCATGAAGTCCATGGACAAACTTTCACCCGGCCTTTCCGGAATCTGAAGGGGCTTGAGCAGCCCAAGAGGAGCCTGAGTACGGGGCTTGTCTCTTTGGCATACTTGACAAGTTTCCACGTATAGTTGTGCATCTTTCATCATCGTGGGCCACCAAAACCACTGCAGCAAGTTGGCTGCGGTCTTTTTGTACCCAAAATGGCCGGTGGCATCATGACACTCGCCTAAAAACAAACTACGCAAAGACTCGCTATTTGGAACATACAAGCGTTTATTCCCTGCCTTCTCTAGGAACAGCAATCCATTGACCAACTCAAACTCGACGGAGGTCTTCTTATCCTTCGCCTCTAGTCAGCGTATGATCTCAGACATAAACTAGTCCTGACGATAGGTTTCCACCAAAGACTGAGTAACATCGCCCGTCAGATCGAACTCAATAATCAGCGCACCTGAGAAGTCCGGTTTGCGCGATAAGGCATCAGCAACCTTGTTGTACTCCCCTTTGAGATACTGAGGGTCAAAGTCATATTCCTCAATGACTTCGATCCATCGCTTGAGAGCATCTGAGAGTACCGGTTGTGTTCTCGTCCATCTCAGGGTCTGATGATCAGTCCGGAGGATGAAGAACCGCCCAAGGAGATAGCGTCTCCAATGGGTGAGAGCCTTGTACACCCCATAGAGTTCCTTCTCATAAGTAGACTTAGCCAACTTCTGAGACGGCATTTTCTTGGGCATGTACTCAACTGGCCTCAACTTTGGCCCCTCCTGCTGCGCAAGCACGGCGCCAATGCCATACTGGCTAGCATCCGTGGTTCCTATAAATGGCTTATCAGAATCGGGTAGCTTCAAGACTTCATAGTGCGTCAATGCATGCTTCAGATGTCTGAAAGCAGCCTCACACTCATCTGTCCACTCCCACGGGGTGTCAAGGCGGGTCAGATCAGTCAAAGGAGCGGCCACAATGATTTAGTTCTTTACAAAAGTCCGGTAATAGCCTGTCATTCCTAAGAAAGATCTCATCTCAGTCACAGACTGAGGTCATGGCCAATCACGAATGCTGGCCACCTTCGCGTCATCGGGCTTCAACCCTTCCACGGAGATCTCATGACCCAAGTACAAGATATGGGTGCGGCCAAACTCGCACTTTTCACCGTTGATCTTGAACTTGTGTTGTCGCAAGAGACTGAGAACTTTGTCTAAGTGTGCTACGTGATCCTTGACAGTCTTACTAAAAATAAGTATGTCATCGAGGTACACGACGACAAACTTATCCAAGTAGTCATGGAATATCCGATTCATAGAGTGTTGAAAGGTGTCAGGAGCATTGCAAAGGCCAAAAGGCATCACCACAAACTCGTACAGACCGTACCTGGTCTGAAATGCGGTTTTGTATTGATCCTCGGGCCGGATTGCAATCTGATGGTACCCGGTCTTCAGATCTATTTTACTGAAGTACCGACACCCTTGCACWCTATCTAACAGATCATCGATGCGCGGTAGGGGCTCTCTGTTCTTCACAGTGATGGCATTGAGGCCCCTATAGTCAATGCACATCCTGAGAGTGCCCTCCTTCTTCTTAGGTACGAAGAGTACTGGAGATCCGTAAGGAGAGACACTCGGCCGGATCCAACCCTTCTCTATGAGTTCCTTGAGTTGGCGGCGAAGCTCATCAAGCTCGCCTGGAAACATCCGATAGATCCTACCCTTCGGTATACTAGACCCTGGGATAATTTCTATCGCATGGACGACCTCCCTCTCAACAACCCCTGTCGGCTCTTCAAATAGATCAGGGTACTTAGCAACTACTCCCTCTATCTCTGGCGGCATTTTCACCGGCTCGCCTGCAACAGAGACATAAACTAAGTACATACCCTCCTCCTGATTTTGCTTATAATAATTATAGAACGCGGCCGCACACATGCACCCATAGGACTCAATCAAACTACTAGCTTTGAACTTATGTAATATGGCGTTCCCTCCACCTGGCAACGTGTGTTTGACCACTTTTCGGTCCCAGTCAAACTGGGGCTGTGCTACAGAGAGGTAGTACATACCTAGTAACATGTCCATTGGGAGCTCGTCACTCACCAGGAACGAGACACGATGCCTCAAGTCCCCTCCCGCGTACAGGAAAACACACTCTACAGCATGGAGGTAGTCATTAACTACCATRCGCTGTTTGTTGGCACAGGTCGACTCCACAGGTCGACTCAGGCGCTGCACTTGCCCCTGTAAGCGCAGCCTCTCAACGCACGCGCGGCTAATAAAGTTCCTAGTCGAGCAAGTGTCATAGTAGGCCCCGGCCTTGCGGCCTCCTATAACTACCTCGCTGACAAACATTTCACTCTTAGGGGCTTTAACTAACGCCGTCCAAGAAGCTAGTGGATCTGATCTGGACCACTCATGCTCTAGCTCCTCTAAGGATTCAAACACATTCATCGAACAAAGGGTCGATAGGTCTGAATGTGTTTGCGGGACGACTAGAGAGTCTATAGCTTGGGCCATCTCTCGCGAAGGTGAGGGTGAATCGACCATCGCGACCCTAGTAGGAACAGCTACTATCCCTACTGGCCCGACGTGTTTCCCGGAGCACTGCCTGAAGAACTAGCAATGTTGCTGCCAACAGGTTGAGAGGATCCTACCGCCGACCCCATAGTGGGCGGGATCTTCTCGGTGACCTTCCTATTACGGCACTTGTACATGCTATGACCATATTGGCCACACTTGATACAAGCTTGCCGTGCCCACCGATCTCTCCACACGTCCTCAGATAGACCGCTTTCTCCCATGGAGGAGCATTGGGGTCTGTTTGACTCTTCGACCGGGATCCCCTAGGGCGTCTACCGGTCCCTTTACCTTTTTGTTGGGTTACCGCAGCGACTATTCCACCCTCTGAAGTATCGCCACCTGCCTCTGCACCTACTCCCTCCTGGAGGTTGCCGTCCAACTCGATGGTTGAACCATCATTGTCGACAAACATTAAGCGACCCTTCGCCTTCCAGTTGGGAGGCAGTGTCTTCTTTTTCCCTTCCGTAGTGGGTGTTTGTCCATGCCCTATCTTTGCTTCAAGGTCCAGGGCTACCTTGCTAAACGAAGGAAAGTTGTGCACATCGATGTTGGCCTCTTTTGCCAACTGGTTCCTGAGAGGCTGAGATAAGCATCTCAAGTACAAAGTTAACAGGACCTGGGTATCAGAGCGTACCCCTGGAGCACAAATCAAACGCTCTACAGCGTCGGTCGCATCCCTTACTGACTTAAACTGCCACGTGTGCAGTGTCAGGATAGCATCAGAGGGCTTTTGAGCCTCCTGAGGATCATGCCACCTTTCTTCCACCATTCTTAGGAAGTCCTCCAATTTCTAAGAGGCTGCCCAAAAGCGGAAGTCATGACCGTACCCCTGGAGTTGCACTAACCCACTCAACCATCTCGCTGCACTACCCTCTAGGTAGGAAGCAGCCACAAGCACTTCTTCGTGTGGCAAGGTGAGTTTACACCTGACGTAGACCGGCACGGCCCTCAACCATGTGTCGAGGTCCTCGCCTCTCTTATCCCCTGTAAAAGGTTTGGCAGCGGCGATGGCCGTCTTTGAAACCCACTGTGTCTGTCCCGGTCCCTGCATCATTCCAGGTTGTGGACCTGGTGAAACAGGTTGCTGAGTTAGCTGCTGGGGCTGTGTGCCCTGAAGCTGCACTGGCTGCGAGACAGCAGGCTGCGTGGTGATTGCAACCTGTGACGGACTTGGAGTGAACACTGTCTGAACAGGAACCTGTAAACTACTCCCTGCTGTTACCCCTCCTAACAGAGGCATGCCCAGGGAAACGATAGCAACCGATGAAGGGGCTACATATGGGGATACCCCAGTCACCGGTGGAACAAAAAGAGGAGGATATGGCACGGGCCAGGCACCAGGCCCTGCTGGTGATGGTGCTGCCTGAGCACGGCCTGCCAACGCGGCTAAGCTTTGTTGAATGTCCTGATAGACTCGACCTCGAACCACAGCAGACTTCAGCAATCAAACAGCATCATACATATGAGCCCAGATAGTCTTGAACTCGAACCACAGCAGACTTGCATCACGAGATACACCAAATAAGAACACACCAAGAGTTCAAACTTGACAATGCTGAAGTAGTCCCATCATCATCAACTACGAACCAGAGTTGATATCCTATTGGCGCTCGGCGCCCAGACTAGATGTGGCAGATCCTATCTAGCCTTTACTACGAAGCAGAATGATGACATCAACAGCGTTCCCGAAGTACGAGCATATGGCGACCAACGCTTCAGCACCAGGTATGTCTCTCGTAACACTCGCAACCCCGATCCACACCGCACAGATGCCACTAGCACCCCAAGGACCACCCTGCGCTTCACSTAGCATACAGCAGCGCAGCTTGGCTATGGCTACGTGCTCCCTCCTACTCGCCCGTGAGAGTGTGAGTGCCAGCCAGCCAGCGGATTGCGCAGCAGCGCTCACACAGCATGCAGCCAGCACCCGAATGCCGAATGAGGAGGCAGGCCCTTCCCTATATCGAAGTGGCCTCCCTGCGTCCAGTCCAGGAAGCTTCCGGTAGGCCCCGGTAGGCACAGGCCCAGTCACGAAGAGAGCAGGCCTTGGGCCTGAAGTGGTTGCATGCGCCCAACTGCTTTCGGCCTGTGTTTGGCCCGGTACCCGTATCCAGCCCAGGGCCTGCTTCACATTCATTTACACAGGCGGCCCAGGGCCTGGATTCATTCAACCAACTGGCGCAACGCAACTGTCTGAATTTCCCCGATGCGGGGTACCCTGAAGAATGAGGCCCGAAGGGCCTGTCATGCCTGCCTTCACTTAGGGCGGCCGACCTTGTTGCAGATAGGGGCCCGTAGGGGCTAAGCGGGCGTAGCCTCGCTCCCATCTTTTCTGGATGTTTACTCCTACATTTCCTCCCTTCATCCTGATTGGCTTGATGGCCCTGCATCATGATGTCGGATTGCCATGTGGAGAGAGGTTATGTACCCCACACTGCAGTCATAATGTCGGATTGCCGAGTGGAGAGAGGGTATGTACCCCACACTGCAGCTCGATTATGCAAGCCTCACATGCTTTCTTCCCTTCCTATCCTGTTCCTCCCTTGTCTTACAAATGATGTGCATGCATCCACCTCTTCTTCCCCGCCCAATTGTAACTCCCGCAAACGCGTTTCCCTTGCTCTCTATTCTCCTGAGTGTTTTTTTTTTTCACGTGCTGGACGTCGGCCCCAGAGTCCCTAATGAAAATGAACAAAGGGGGCCATTACCTGGCTTTGGCTGAAACAACAAGAATTGTCAAATATTCTCCCCATTGAGTAAGCCAGATCTGGTAGATTGGCTACGTTTTGGTGGTGGTTGATTGGCGAAGTCAGAGAGTTCCGACATGCTGGTTGTTTCGGCTAGTTGCTGCAACATACTGCAGAACTTTCACGAACCTGGCATGCTGATTGGTCCAGCGGGGTGACAATTGTTGTGTTCATTGAATGTGTCGCAGATAACTGTCGACGCTCAACCGTATGGAGGTGTGCTTCGGTGATGTCTAGCTCGTGCCATGTTAAAAGAGAGTGGGGTGATGTGTTTACACCTTACGGATGGAAGTTGATGATCTTCGACGGCTTTTATTCATTCACTCATCTTTCGTTCATGCATCATGTGTGGTGGTTTTCGACGTTTGTCATAAGTCTTTGATTGTCTCTTGTGGATGCATGCGTACAATGAACTGATGTCGTCTAGATCGGGTATATGTTCGCATGGGGGCACGCTTGTGTCTTTTTGTGTACTTGTTGGAATATCCATGCCGAGCGGTTATGAAAATGTTTGCCTATTCTCAGCAGTTCTCCCTTCCCAAACCTCACAAGCTCTTTCTTGAGTGTACAAACCCACGATCTTCCTCCCACGGTTCCCCAAATGATTACCGACAACGTGTGTGAGTGGAATGTGCATGAAGCGATGGTTCATTTCTGCAACCATATGCCTTCCCCACCGAAGCTTGCTGCTCAGGATTTGTAGGATGGGTTTCGCTTACCTGCCCCCCCATAGGGACAAGGAACCTTGCGACAGAAGGCTTGGTTGAGAGTCTTGAGACCATCCACCTCAGACTCCCAAATTTGTGGGACACTCGACGCAGCTTGACCAATCTACCCGATTTCACGTGTACACCCAGGATGTTTCGCCCCTGCAAGCAGACGCGCTGACATATGACCATTGCTCATAGGAAACCTTGGTGGTCTTTCTCTGTTTATCTTCTTTTCACTTGTATGATGATTTCTCATGGCACTCGTGCATGGAGTGATCTTTTTTCGCTTTTTGTTTCTTTTGTACAATGCCAGTTTTATTTAGTGTTTTCGCTTCTTCTATAGAAAGCCTGTTTTGTCACTCAAACTTGCGCATTATTGTTATCATCTATCCTTCGCCCAAAACTCAATTCCCAGAACCCCGATGCACTGAGATTCCAGTTCCGACCTGGAATTCCACCCCCTCCTTTCCAAAACTCCTTCGTACACTACTTACAACGCGATTTCCCAGGCCTACACCCTTCTTCACCGAAAAAGAGAGTTGGATATGAGGTTCCCCGTCACACTCCCGCCAACACTTGAGAACCAAAATCTCCTTGGCCCAACCATGAACCTGGTCATAAACCTGACCAGATTTGTGCTAGCATAGCACACGCACAACTCCAATGAGCACCTATCACCAATTGGCCCACAATTAATCACTCACTCGGTGTATGGCCCCAATCATTGCAACCAAGGAGGAAGGTTATGATCAAACAATGATGGGGGAGGGCCAAGATGGTCCAAATGGAACCTTCCCACCCC